AATTGTCAACAAGCTTCAATGTAACCGCACCATAAAACTTTCGCCTGTCCAGATCGCGTCATATTCCCTGTGTCAGTGCGTTGTGCCGCGTGGGCGCCACCTGCCGGGCCAAGGTTCAATGGCCATCACTTGCTGACTGACTCACTCCATCTACAAGGAGCACGTGACAGGAGTTTGTACCCTAGATTCACACTACGTTATATCGTAAGATAAACAAGCTTTCGACCGTGACTCCGTCCGCGTGGAATTAAAAAACCAAAGGTGAGTAGCCTGTGTTCTTCCAGACTATCCCTTACATCTGTACCAAATTTCATCGAAATCTTTAGGCTAAAAACTCTAACAAAAATGCATCCCTAAACTTTCTATTTGATAATAGTAAGATTTAGTATATTATTTGACATTCGGGAAATAATGGGAAAAAGTAGAAAAATAGTTTTTTAATGGCGACTTCGTCCGTGTACAATTAAAAAAAGCTTACTAATGTTATAAATGCGAATGTTTAGAATAGGTGTTTATTTTTGTGACTGTAAGGGGCTTTAAAGGTGTAAACGCTCTTATATCTATATAACAAAAATCTTAAAACTAAAGTAGTACAAACCTTATCAAAGCTTTTTCAAAAAAAATACTGCTTAGTTATGGTTTAACAAAGTAAGTAATACAAAGGGAGCTCCGAGGTCAAACAAGTTGTTTATTGGAAGTAGGTTTACACACGAGCTATGGAACTGCATTGTCATTGTCATTATGTAACTTAGTACATACATAATAACACTAAGCTATGTTCAAGTTAGTATTACAACTTGAAAGATTAATAACATAGCTTTGTTTTGATTAACATAGTAGTTAAGCGCTACATGTTATATAGACACGTTGTATACTTAAATATAGTATTTATATGATAGAATAACAAAATGTATTTATCTTTGTATTCAATGGGATTTTTTTTTATATTTTAAGTTAGCAAACGAGCAAACTTCCATCTGAATTAGCTGAAATTGTGAAATAAGTGAAGCCATAGACATCCGTATTTCCTGATGCGTTGCTTCATTTAAGCAACATAGGAGGGGTTGCATAGGAAGGGGAATTATCCTCCACTCCTCCCTTCCTCTTCCCTTCCTTTGCTTGCAAGAAAAGGGAAGGTTAGAAATAAAAATAAAGTAAGAAAAAAATTCGTTTAATCAAAAAAACAACTGGAATTCTGTAGTGCTGCGGTGTACACCGAAGCGTCTTTTTTCAATGAAGGATTTATTAAAATTTATAAAATAGTGGTATTTTTTTATTAGTTAACCTCATTTTTCTTTATGCTTAGAATGTGTTACACATACAGACATTACCGGGCTAAGTTACTATGCGAATTAACTACATGTCAGAGCTCTGATCACCACAAGGTCAAAAAACCAGTGACAATTACACTTAATGACACGTCGTGAGAACAAAAACTATGCAGATGTGACACTTAACTTGAGTATGTTGGCGAAGCAAGAACATTTTTTATATACTTAAGTACATTTTTTCTAACAAGTTAAATAAGTAAAGTACTTATTATCGTTATTAAACTGAACCTTATTTGAAATGGTACAAAATTGTCGAAGGATTTTGAAATAAAACCCATAGAAGTGTTTGTTTCGCCCTTTATTGCAGCAGGTCAAGTTCGGATCAATTTTTTTAACTATTACCTTTTTGCTGTAAGCTTGTAAGCTAATATGAAAATAATTTCAATAAATTCAATGCAGTTTCGACGAACATAATTGCGTTAAATACCTAATTAATTAAGAAATAATCCTGTTGCCTTTGTCTTTTAAAAACAAGATGAATTCGTTGAAAAATGTGATTCAAAAAAATAAATTAACACACAAGTACTCTTTGTTTGAAACTTCCCAGGCTTTTTGTCTCTTTAAAATTGCGAGATTCGAAATAACTAAAATGTATCATGAATTTTATAACAAAGTGAACAGAGAATTGTTAAACAGAAATAAATTCTTTGGGAAAATATTCTATGAGATATTCTTCAATCTTCCAACAGCAAAATTAAAGTGACATTAGATAGAGCTTACTTAGATGGTCACAAGATTTTTTTTTTAAGAAAAAGAAATTCACATTCTCTATTATATAAGCCCGTTACATACGCTCAGTTCTAATTGAACAGTTAAAACTGTTCACTAATAGATCATATTTTGCTTCCACACGCACAGTTTTAGCTGGACAGTTAGCTTTAGATATCATGAACAATTTCCACATCTGTTTTCCATTGAAACATGTTTCGTGTAGTCCCTTCGCGCATCAGTATGCGTGCGGGGTCGGCAGAGAGCGTGTTGTGTCGAGGAAGGGGGATTGTGCAAATAATTTGAAGGGTTACATTAAATATGGATTTATGTCGTGTGAAAGATATACGAAAGCCACGATTTATAGATATTTGTGGTCAAGATTTACGTCGTTTCCATCTTAACGTATTTTTATATGTAGTTTGGAAACATGTTTCTATAATGTTTCCTAAGTCGAAATGCATGCTATAATTCTACTAATCGCTGTTTGTTAGATATTTTTATAATCAACGAATACCGGTTTTCTAAATCATTAATTAATTGTTTCTCGTTTTAAAAACGGTATTGTTTCATTATACGTCAATATGTTTTTTTAACTTTGTAACACGATACGAACATAGTTTTAAACAATTTGCGCGAAGAAGCATGACTCATACAATACATACTCTTATACATATATAATTAATTTGTTTGTCCACCGACATGAGTCACGTCACTCAGGTATTTAAGAATAGATTAACTTATGTCTTTTGAATCACTTGTGCATCAGAAACGAGGGATATACGATACACATTTTTTAATTCTCATTTTTGACAGAACTAACGACTCACTCATTGAACATTAAACAAAACCAACTTCAAAAGAAGACTCTACGAACATCCTCGGGCAGGCCTTCCTGTGAGTCGGGCAAAAAATGCACGCAAGACAATTGTGATACTAGTATGTTTGTCAACTAACATGTAGTTGTAGGATTCGAACCCACGCTGGTTTGTGCACATTCGATATTAAATGATAATATTTTATAACGACAACATTGTGGAAATATAATTTGATGCAAATGTATGAGTCATAATAATTCCGTAAAACATAAACAACGACACGAGTTTATAACTATGACTCATCGGAGCACCCATAGACGTGACCCCATAAGGTTTGGATATGATAGGCAACCATGATAAAGGAAGATAGATTTGGTATCTCCTAACATTTATAAAAAAAACAGGCTTTCGCCCGCGACTCTGTCAGCGTGGAATAAACCTAAAGTAACCTATATGTGTTCTTATGAAATCCGTTTATCAGTTTGCTACTCTAACAAACATCAATCCATCTAAATTTTCGCATTTATATTAGAAAGAAGTAAGATATAGGAAGATACAATAACAAATTGTTATCGAAATATATTCAATTTCCGCAACAAAATTGTTATAAACCAAATATTTTCTTCGATAAAATCTTTTACAAATTGAGGAGTAAAACTGAACTTTGCAAGTTGTGAAAGTAAGCAAATTGCTAGCGGCAACACTCCGCCAAACGTGACACTTTGACAGCTGTCAAACGCACACCTGTCATAACTCGTACAGAGTATGTGAGAAATACAGTTCATATTTTAATAAGAAATAAGCTCTCGTAAATTCTTCTTCGAATGCATATTAAGGCAAGCGCTTAGTGTAGATTTCTAGATCTAAATTGTGACGGGAATTATTAATTACAAACTCTTTTCTTATTATTTTCATATAACATATTTCTTATTGTTTTTTGTACCGTATTATTTATCTGCTTTGAAGGTTACCTGTTTGAATTAATTATTATAAATTATTCGTGACGTAGCTTCACAGACATTTATTAATTATCATTTTGAGCAAAGTCAGTGACTTAATATTCACATTTTAATGTATATTTACATATGTTAATTTTGTTAAGAATAGGTATTTTATCTTTCATTTTGTTATATTGTCATAAGAGACATCTATTGGATAAAGTAAATATTGCGTAGAGTTCAAACTAGCAAATCTAATGATTAACGCTAGATGGCGTAGAGTCCAAATTTCGTGTTTCTTCTAATTTTTTTCCGAGACGCGAAATTTTTATAACTAATTTCCTGTACCCAAATTATACGTATAACAAAATAATTTAATTTGATATTTGGAAACGGCAACAGCGATGCAATTTGTTGTTTAAATATGTAAATCTAATGAAAACTCATTTCATAGCGTAGACTATTTGATTTATTAGTTTAATTTTTGCGTAACATTTATGAGTTGGTCCGCTAGATGTCTCTTATATAAAAATATTCTTGCAATTTATTTAAAAGCTTATTATCAATTGAAAATAATCTTTTGGTTGTACTCGAAACATTTTAATGAAAATTTTTGGATACATGAGAAATATGTTATTAAAATTAACGGTTAACTTAATTTTATGGGAAATCTCATTATAAAACGATTTATTAACACAGTTATAGCCGACGAATGAAATTATCTTTAATTTCTAATTATTAATTTATCAATTACATTTCATTATAAATGCAAGTTTTGCCAACTTACTTTATTTAGTATTTGGGCTCTTGATACATGAACATAGCGTGATTTTTTTTTTGTCTCTGCTTGAAGATATTTATTGAAATGTTTTGACGCTAAAGTTGGGACAAAAGATTAGACGAAATATTTCGTCGCTACGCTAAGTGATGTCTAACAATTTGCATGTCTCCTCCGCAACTACTCCTGTTGAATATAAAAACAGTATGTCTCGACACTAAAGTCACTGTGAGCAGCACTTAGTGTGCACGGCGCGGTGTGCACACGTGTTAGCATGACTTTTATAATTGGCTAAAATCAACATCTTCAACAATTCACGTCTCGAGTCGTAAGATGCGATTATATAGAAAAAACTAAACAAGTATAAAATTAAAGTCATTCTCATTCTGAACGACCGCAAGATAATAAAGTATATAAGCAGTGATATCGATAACGCTGCTCATTTGATAATAAGAATCCATCGAGCCATGGCGTACATGTACGTGGTGTTAGCGGCGGCCGCGTGCTACCTGCTATACCACTACGTGACGAGGACCTTCGGCTATTGGAAGAAGCGTCGTGTCAATGGACCGCCACCCGTACCGTTGTTCGGCAGCCTGCAGGCCTCCGTACTGCGCAAACAGAACACCGCCGTCGTCTTCCGCGACATCTACAAGCAGTTCCCCAACGACAAAATAGTCGGCATGTATCGCATGACGACGCCCTGCCTCCTCGTTCGGGACCTCGACATCGCCAAGACCATCCTCATTAAGGACTTCGATTGCTTCTCGGACCGCGGCGTGTCCTTTAGCGAGCGCGGCCTCGGCAACAATCTGTTCCACGCTGACACTCATATATGGCGCGTCCTGCGCAACCGCTTCACGCCCATCTTCACCTCCACAAAGCTCAAGAATATGGTGTACCTGATGGAGCAGAGCGGGGATAGGTTCGTGGAGTTCCTGCGACAGCAGTGCGCGCAGCGGCAGGAGCAGGAGCTTCACGCGCTCATCCAGCGCTACACTGTGGCCACTATCTCAGCGTGCGCGTTCGGCCTCGACTTCGACACCATCACCGACAAGATACACGTGCTGCAGAAACTGGACAACATCATCTTCTCGCCGTCGTTCATCGACGAGGTGGACATGATGTACCCGGGCATTCTAAAAAAGCTCAACTTGGACATCTTTCCGAAGGAGATATCGGATTTCTTCGACTCGCTGGTTACGACGGTGGTGACGCAGAGGAACGGCAAGCCGACCAATAGAAAGGACTTCATGGACCTCATCCTGGAGCTGCGGCAGCAAGGCGAGATCCACGGCAGCAAACGATCGGAAGATGAACAAGAGCGCAAGCTGGATTTGACGGACGACATTATCGCCGCCCAGGCGTTCGTGTTCTACGCAGGCGGGTACGAGACTAGCGCTAGCACCATGTCGTTCATGCTGTACGAGATGGCGCGCAACCCCGACCTGCAGGACAGGGTCATACAGGAGGTGGACGATGTGATGAGGAAGTACGACGGCAAACTGACGTTCGAGGCGCTCAACGAGCTCAAGTATATGGAGCAGGTGTTTGACGAGACCCTGCGCCTGTATCCCATCGTGGACCCGCTGCAGCGGCGCGCGCAGAAGGACTACCAGATCCCCGGCACCGACGTGACGGTGGAAGCAGGTCAGATGGTGTTCGTGACGGCGGCCGGCATACATCGCGACGAGCGGTACTACCCCGACCCCGAGAGGTTCGACCCGGAGAGATTTTCCCCAGAAAACTCGAGCAACAGACATCCATGTGCCTACCTGCCCTTCGGAGTCGGACCCAGGAATTGTATCGGTAAGTGTTTACCATAAAGTTAATTTTAAGTGATATTGAATAGAAATAGAAATAATTTTATTGAAAAATAAGAGATTAACAATTACAGTAACAGTTATACCAACTAAAAGATAAATACTAATTATGGTTAATATACGATTAATCTGAATCGAAGACTGAATGTAATGTTATTTGTTTGTTTTCTTACAGGGATGCGATTTTCTAAAATCCAATCAAGAATGTGTATGGCAAAGTTCTTTTCTTCGTTCCGTGTGTCGGCGACGCGCGAGACGCTGCGCGGGCTGCGCTTCGTGCCGCGGAGGTTCATCCTCGGCTCCGACAACATAAAGCTCAACATTATACCCAGAAAATTATAAATAACCAAATATGTTATTATTGTAAACTGTTAAGTTTGTTTTAATAAAGTTTTTTCAATAAAAAAAGCGTTTTATTTACTATTTTGCTTCATCTTAAATAATGTGCCTTCATAGTTAGTGCTTTTAATCTGTTCTTAATAACACGTAAAAAAATCATTAGCTTTTATTATTCAGTAGATTCGTACAATTTTGTTTGAAACTTAGCAGCGCCCCTCGCCGGCCAGATGTCCTTTGACTTTAAATTAATATAATTTAGGTACGTAAAACATCATCATATTATACATTTTGCTGTGTCATTTCCAAGAAGTTCGGACGCACCTAAAGATATATTTCCGATCTATTTAAATATCTAATCGCAGTGTTTAAAATTATCTCTAATTAAATGTCAAAAAGATTACATATTTACTATTGTGTTACTGAGGATTTATCTATACTTCTTCTTCTTCTTAAAACTTTGTATTTTTGTATTTTTGTATGTATTGAAATAACTCAAAAGCTACTGGGCCGATTTTAAAAATTCTTTCACCATCAGAAAGGTAATTTAAATATTTTGGGTAAAAACCCTATTGTGCGAAAGAGACCATAAGTTGCTGCCAACATCAAGGAAGCAAGATTGCCAAGTTTTGTCATGTCATGTCATTTTGACATTTGCAATTGACAATTTGACATATGTAAACAATAGAACAAAATTTTCATAATTTCATGCGGATGAAGTCGCACAGAAACAGCTAGTTATGATGTACATGCACATGCACATTTGGTCGATCACGTTACGAATAATAATTTCGCAACTGTAACGGAAATATTCGTGATAGACCCTCTTACAGATGTTACGCGGTGTAATGGGACATGTTATATGCCCGAACATTTATAAGTAGAACCAGTAAGTCGTGTTACGGGCAACCATTGAGTAACGACAATGATTAGCTAGTTGAACTTCTTACTAACATCTTATAAATCACACATCTAAAACAAGATTAATAATAATATTTGCAGTCAAACAGAATTAAACTTGTTTGTTAATAACTTAAAGCGCCCACATTTGACTAAATTATCGCACGACTGTTTGGTCTCGCTTTGATTCCTATGAGCTTATATGGAGGTGGACTGCTCGATTTTTAGTTGTGCAACTAAACAGTTGAATTGGCTGTGAAACAATCGACAATCGCACAACACTGTGGGTTTGTTTGTCAAAGATGCGCTCTTACTTTATTTGTTTAAGAATCTATTTTTGTGCACGAATCATTGCCGTGCCGTTTCGAATACAAAATAGTTAGGTGACTTAATTCATCTAACAGTTTGCATAGTACATTTTTTATTCGCTAAATATAGATTTCTTGCATGACTCGAAAAATAAGATTCAAGTTTTATACTTTTAAAAGTGCTTTGTTTGCATGACGTTTGATATTATTATTTCTTAACTTTTGACATTGCTTTGTCTCATTTTAATCTTGCTTGGAAACACAATTAATTGTGTTTAAATGTGAATTGTTTAGATTCTTCATGCGACCTGCCGCGACCTGCCTGCAGCTACAATACTTACGTTCTAATATTCTCAATGGGATTTATTAGGTTAATATACTAATATTATAAAGAGGGAAGATTTGTTTGTTTAATGTAGAAAACTACATTATCACTGACTGGAGTAAAAAAAAACTAGTTCAAATAAGACTACATTAATTGCAGCTTCCTCAACATATAGTCTTTATCGGCTTTAGGCAATTCGAAAAAACTGTAAGAAATAAATCGTTGGCATATTTTTACTCAATTTTAACGTAAAAAGGTAAGTGATATCTTTTAAAACGCATCAAAGCACTGAATGCGTCATTTATGCTCTCAATGCGTCTTAAACGGCCTAAAATAATTAATTAAAATACAAGTTATTTTCCTTGTTTAAGCACAATCAGTGCTTCCACTGTTTACGTAACTCATAACAGACGTTACGACTGAGTCACAGCTTTGTATATAACAGAAGATTCAAGTTTATTTGTCACTAGAACTAAAGCAGTTACAATGAATCAAACATTACTTGTCCTGACTCTGGTGTTGCTGGTGGTGGCCAGCGCGAGGATGCTGCCGGAGCCGTGGTCGGCGGAGGTGGGAGCTGTGAGGAATTTGAAGGGAGGGGAGCTGCCGCGACGACGAAGGAGCAACTTCCACTTCCGCGGCTACTGGTCCTGCCCCATCGGCTATATACGCAGCCCAGCCGCTTTTTGCGTCGAGTGCGGAGAGTAAGTTATATTATTTTAGATACATTTTTACTTAGAATTTATATCCTTTTATTGGATGATACAAGTCAATTTAGGCCAATATCAAACAAAACGTTCATTTTTTTTATAATATAAGGTGGCAAACGAGTAAGCAGCCACCTGAATCCACCGAAATGGAAAGCGACCGCTGCCCATGAACAGCCGCAATTGCAGATGCGTTGCCAACTCTTAATCGACGGAGGAGGAGACGCACGTAAAGAGGACTTTTCCTTTATGATGCGTCTCCTCCACCGTCAAATCCACTTTTCCTTCCCATTCTTTCCTCTTAAGAAAAGAGTGGAAAGGGAAAGGGACTAATATTAGGCCTCCGGCACCAAACTCATCAGACGAAACGCGGAATTGCTTCCACTTCACGCCTGTTATCTGTGTGGTATTACACCGGGCGAGCCGACCCATTCGTGCGAAGATGTTAAAGAGGGCTCTACCACTGTTAAATTTGTAGTTAATATCAACCAATGCCTAGTATTCCATAAAGGCATCGGACTAAACTTATTTTGTGCCCGACTTTCAGAAGAGGAAAGAATTTTACTTGTATGTCGTATTCATGAAAGGAGCTGATGTTGGCGAGTTAAATATCATTTGTTTTTTTTAAAGGTATTAAAAAAAATAATAAATACATATAATTTCAGATACGAGATGATCACTGGCATGCCTTGCGACAGCATCTTATGAGGAGTTGGAAGAATTTAAACGAGGTGTTATCGAAGCTGCAATATTTAACTAAAAGAACCTCCAACAAGAAAGCTTACTTCTGTGTGCTGTTTCTTAGTGCTCTGACCAAATGTTAAATATCCACACTACGAGTACGCTGAAACAAACCAATCAAATACAATAAATATTTGTAATAACATTTACTTAGTTTTATTTTCGCATTTCAATATTGATTTGTTCGTGTATTTTATATCTAGGCAAGATAACGTTCAGTGCAAAGTCTGCATTCTTACAGTTTCGACATTACATCTGAACAGTAAAACTGTACAGTTACTTACGTCTGTAGCAAACATTTTTATCAGTTAAATTGTTCAGTTCACAGTTATACAAGCACACGTGAGTTTAACTGTACAATTCAATGATCAGTTAAAAATGAAAGCGTGTAGTGTATAAAAAAATAGCCAGCTGAGAATCAAACTGCAATAGTACGTCGCTACGTCGCTACGCAAACGCTTCGATAAGGACTCCTTGAGGTTTTCCTGTTTACGTTTTAAGTTAAATGCAAGCAATTACATTTACTGTATTGGTTTTCCTTTTCCCTACAAAAAGAGCTTTAGGATTATAAGAGAGGTTATGTGGCTAAATTAGAAACTCTAATCACATCGTTGATTCATTTTTTTTGTATAAGTTTTCTCCTGGCGTTGTTTGTATTTTTGTTAGAACAATTTTGCTAATTTCTAAAAACTTTCGAGAAACATTATACTGTATAAATTATAACACGGCTAAACTCACCTACAGCTTACACCGAATGTTGTCACGTGAGTTTAACTGTGTTATAATTTATATAATCTTACTAATATTGTAAATGCGAATGGATGGATGTTTGTTAGAGTTTTTAGCCTAAACTGATTACCGGATCTCGATGAAATTTGAAGTAGAGGCTACTTACTTTTGTTTTTTTTTTTAATTCCACGCGAACGAAGTCTCGGGAGAAATCTAGTAACATATAAAGAAACAGTTCTGACAGTTACAACTGAACAATTCGGCTGCTCTGTTTTCTTTGACTTTATTGCAAATTTTACGGAACTCACTTTGTGAAGGAAATTTTTTAATAATCATCGTCGGGAATTATCAGATTAGATAAGTGTGCAAGTCGTCTTACAAATAGATTGTTAATTATTTGTTTTCAAACTGTTTTTATACTGATAATTTTGTTAATATATTGTATGCGTTTTATCTTAAAGGTCATATAACCTGTGAATAGATAAATTGAATTTTGAATGGAATTTTTTTTCGCAATTTTAAAACACCTCGCGCACACCTTGGACTAAACTATCGCACAACTGTTTAGTCTCGCTTTGAATCCTATGAGCTTATATGGAGGTGCGCTACTCGATATTTAGTTGTGCAACTAAACAGTTGACTGCGAAACAATCGACAATCTCACGACAGTTGTGCGATAGTTTAGTCTAAGGTGTGCGTCTGCTCTTAAATATTAGTATAGAAATTTAGCACTTCAAGATCAATCTATACTAATATTATAAAGAGGAAAGATTTGTATTTTTGTATGTATTGAAATAACTCTAAAACTAATGGGTCGATTTTTTAAATATTTCAACGTTAGCAAGGTAATAATATACATATTTGATTTATTTACATAACAAAACATACAAAATAGAAATCATTCCTCTTTATATTAGTACTAGTTGTTTATTAAAAAATTAGTAAAAACAGCTTATGTTACAACATAACCTATTTTTAATTATTTTTTTAATTTCACGGGTACGAAGTCACGAGCAACAGCTAGTACTAATATAAAGTAGAATTATTTCTATTTTGTATGTCTTAAAATAAATCAAACACTAGTAGGCCGATTTCAAATATTCTTTTACCATTAAAAAGCTACGTTTCCACTGAGTAACATAGGCTATATTTTTTTTAAATTCTAAGTGGACGACGTCAGCAACAGCTAATAAGAAATAAAACACAATATTCGTGTAAAGGTATTTATTGATACCACTATTTAGTTACAATATTGTCTACAGGAGTGCAAGCGACGTCACATCCATACATCCATACATCCATACATACATCGTGTCTGCGCTTTACATTCAAAATCACTGTCTCATACAAAATACATCAACAAGTTTCATTTGCTGAATAACCGTACATTTAGTATAAATATATAAAATAGTGCAACAATGTGTAATTTGGTCTACACGCAGCCCGCCTCAGTCGAATGCAATACAAATGACAAATTATAACGAGAACATATAAATTTAACATTTATAAGTGTTAAAAATACATCCAAAACAGACTTTTTTGTGTGAATTTAAATGAACGTAATTAATTTTCTCAAATAAATGTTATTTTTAAGCAGAGTATGTATTTAAATTTCTCATTTGGATTGAATTAGACATACGTAATATACAATATGTTCATACAAACGAAAGCTGTTTGAAACACGCGCAAACTAACACATCTATTTATATGCATTTTAATAATTTTGTAGCTCTTAAGATATGTATATAACTTGAAGGAAAAAGCTGTGTAATTTATCACATGATTTAATATATTTATATAAAGCCTAAAAAATCTAGATTAAAATACGATTTCTACATAAATTGCCTAACAAGCACATCGATTATAATAAACGTAAAAAAAGCACAAATTACTATAAATATATTTTTTTATAAAATAAATGTGGCGTGTATCAAACAGCTGACGTCATCAGCTCCGCATTATGGCAATAACAAGGTACGTGGGGTTGTGTTAACACTCGCAGGTGATACCACCAACTCGAGACTGAGTTTTTACACTTAAAAACATAGATATCTACAAACGGATTGGAACTATCTTAAATAACATTATTCAATAGTTTTTAATCATGATTACAACAACAAAGATAAAAATCGAAATATTTACAAATAAATGATTAGACAAAACTCTATCTCGAGTCAGGATTCATTAATTCTAGTAGTGGAATTACTGCCGCGAATATTTACAGCGAAATACAGAATATTGTCCAGAATAATACTCCCGACGAGACTCCCGCCCCCTGCGGCTAAGGACACGTCCCCTTCCTGACAGACTCCGCCCCCTGCGGCTAAGGACACGTCCCCTTCCTGACAGACTCCGCCCCCTGCGGCTGAGGACACATCCCCCTCCACACAGTCTCCGCCCCCTGTTAACCCCCTTGCGGCCCTTAGCGCATTTAGCCGCCTTGGACGTAAAAACTCCGCTCTTTATAAACATATTATTTACAATAGTAGAAGCGGTTCAGTCCTACATATATAACACAGCGGCTCGCGACATCAGTGTGGAAGTAAGATACAAGTGAGGGACATTAACATATACAATTGGTTCTTTACTAAAGGTGACATAAACATCGCGCGTCAGCGAGCGCCCCGCCTCACTCGGGATCAACCTCCGTTGCTTGGATGGTCCTGAAACAATCATTTTTATTCAATTCAATAAAAAAAACTTTAAATCATGTGTAAACCTATTGAAGGTAACGAGAGGAGAGAGGAAATACATGAAATGTAAAAACAAAGTTATACCTGTAGAGATCGATCCACGTCTAGCGCCTTGGGGAAGCAGATCTCCTCAGTCATTTGGTAATCTGGAATTGTATCAAATTATATGTGTGAAAGTTTAGATGGATAATTGTAAAAAAATGTCTTTGGAACAGCTTAAGGAATCTCGATAAAATTTGGCATTGTTATAGAACATAGTCTGAGAGAACGTGTAAATCACTTTATTTTGTTATTTCTAATTTCAGGCAAAAGTAAAGGGTAGTACTAAACATTATCATAAAGTGTGTGTGTACCGGTGTGCGCGCGGCGAGCCTGCGCGCGCAGCGCGTCAGCGAGGTCCTGGTGGCTGGCCAGCTGCTGGCGCGCGGCGTGCGCGTGCGCCAGCTGCGGCGGCGCGTGCGCCAGCAGGCGCGCCAGCGTGCCGGCCAGCGCGCGCGCCGGCACGCTCAGCCGCCGCGCCAGCCGCGCGCCGCCCGCCGCCTGCAGCGCCTCTGTACACAACACATTCATTATTAGTCCGCCTCTAATTAATAAAAAACATGGCCTATGTTACTCACTGATAACGTAACTTTTTATTAGTGTAAGAATTTTTCAATCGATAAAGTAGTTTTTGAGTTATATCAATACATACAAAACATGATTAGACCATAACCCACCGAAGGGCGGCTCGACGGGCTCCCTGGGCGGCAGCGCGGGCGGGGCGAGGGGCGGGGCGTGGGGCGGGGCGAGGGGCGCGGCGGGCGGCAGCAGCAGGTCGTACACGCCCTCGTCGCCCTCGCCCTGCTCCGAGGAGCGCAGGCAGTCTTCCAGCTCCGATAGCTCGTCTGGTCGCTCGCTGGACATTTCCAAGTCTTCTGAAAAACAATTTAGCACAAATTAGTTAAAATTAACTCTTATTTACAAATATTAAAAATGTACAAAATTGTAAAATTGTACAAAATGTTGTACAAATGCCCTACCGTCGTTCTGGGCGTTCGTATCGTTGTGGTGTGCATGCGGCGTCGTGCTGTGCGCCTGCTGTGGCGTGCTGTGCGCGTGCTGCGAGTGCGCGGCGTGCGGCGCGCGGCGGCAGGTGTCGCAGCGGCCGCTGCGCGCCGCCATCGCGCTCGTCTCGTCCACCGACAGCGCCTTAGTCAGCAGCTCCGTCAGTTGGTTCGCTATACATATTACAAACAAAAATCATCAACTTCCTCCTTATCCTACTCTCTTAGCTACGCCACTATAGGTTCTTGTTCTCTACATAACTCTATCATACGTCATCTCAGTCATCACTCCTTTTTTCACGTCACCTTTCAGGCAATTCATCCATTTTTAAGTCTACCTCTACCTATGTACTTCAACACTCATATAAATATATGGACAAAAAGTTTTGACAATATTTAGATAAATTTGTATTACTGCTCACCTTGCTCGTGCGCGGCGAGAAGCAGCTGGTGGATGTCCACCTCGCCGTCCGCCGCTCCCGCGGTCTCCATATCCGACATATCTGCAAACAGAGTCATTTAGAACACTGACACTGAGTGAGTCCATCTCTGTGTGTGCCAGTGTACCGTGCACTGACCGACTTGTCCGAGCGTGTCGGCGACGGCGAGGTCCGCGACCTGCGCGTAGCAGTCTGCGGGCACGCCCAGCAGCTCGCCCACGATGGTGCTCTTGGCGCGCAGCGCGCGGCTGATCACCTCGTCCAGCCGCCGCAGCCGCTCTGCACACACACACACGCACACACGTGTAGCAGCACTTCAGTCGTAGAGCTTTAACTTCGCACTACCAGTTTCTCCCAAATTAGAATAAAACCACAAACTTGACACTGACCCAATCCGCTGAGGGAGAGTCATAAACAAGAAACAAGACAACTTCGCACTATCCCCGTCCCTCCGATGTAGATGCATAAGAAGAGGAAATATCCTTCTTATGTGTGTCCTTTTTTGGTTATGGGTAGGCAAGGCTTCTGCTATTGCGAATATGAATGGGCAGCAGTGATATGGGGGTGGGGGTGTACATACCCTGGTGCGTGAGCGCCTGTCGCGCGGTGTGCACGTGGTGCGCGGGCGCGCTGACGGTGAGCGCGTCGCGCGGCGCCAGCGCGGGCAGCTCGCCGCAGTGCGTGCTGATGCGTCCCACCGTCGCCCGCCGCTGTCTGCACACGGAAAACCCAAAATAGAATAATCATAACAAAAGTTTAAAGTGGTAGACGTCAGAAAACATCTTCGCACGGTAAATTCGCCTCCTTCTGCAACGCCACGACCACACAAAAGGATTTTAGTACATTCCCCACCTCCGCCCTTTTCATAGTAAGTAAAATAAAGGGAAGAAAGCGAATCTAACAGAGGAATGGACAAAGAAAGAAGAAATATCCTTATATCTCGTCATTCGCTTCGCCATTTCAGAGAATTCAATGAATGAGTAGCATATTTGGCACACTATCACAAAAGTAGTGAACTCGCCTGCTGGAGTCGTCGGAGTCTCCTACCCTGGAGACATCGTCTCTCTTGTCGTCTCTGTCGGCGGAGTTGCGGTCCCGCTCGGCGCGCTCCGCGTGCTCGGCGTGTTCGCTGTCACGCTCGTTGTCCCGCTCGGCATGCTCGGCGTGCTCGCTGTCTCGCTCGACGTGCTCGGCGTCACGCTCGCTGTCCCGCTCCTCGTCGGCCGCGGTCGATGACGACTTCTCGGACGCGTCAGATGGATTTCTTGACACGTTTATACCTTTTACATAATACGAAATGACTGTTAAGGGATTTTTTGTGACAAATTGACATATTTTAAAAATAAACGTTATTTGTAAATGCAATGAATTCATCGGATACTTAAATGTAAACCTCAACATCAGGATAACTATTCTATTTATTCTATATTCTATAATATATCATTACACCAATAAATCAATTTTTATTTTAAATGTATCCAAAGTATTTCCTACCAGTTGTATACATTTTTATTCGGTCGAATTATACATATTCAATTTTTGTATTTATTTGTACACGTTTATCTCAAAAAATACAAATCAGATTGGAATAATTCTTTATACACATGAAAGAGAAATTAATATAGAAGGTCATGGAGTATACAACATCACGCTAATGAATCAGAGAGGTAAGCAGAAAGTAAAAAGGTGTGTTACCGGAGTCGTCGTTGGAGCGGGAATGGTGGTGCGCGACGAGGGGCTTCAGTTCCGTCAGCTTGGCCAGCGGCGCCTGCTGGATGTGCTTTACCCACCTTCATACACACAGACAAACATACAATATTATGTACTGATTTACAGTGTTTGTGTGTATGATGTATGTCGTGTGACTCACGTGGCGTACTCCGCGGCGGTGTTGGCAGACAATTCGTGCATCTGCACGCCGTTGATGTTCATGAGGAAGAATGTGTTGCGCACCGCGGCGTTCGGTCGAAACAGCACCTTGTCCCTGCACACATACAGTACATTTTGTATTGACATTCATATGCAGGATGTATGATGACGTCATATTTTCGATATATTAATCGATTGACATCTTGACAGGTTACAATATTTGTGAAACTTTCCAACGTGTAAAGATTTTAGAATTAAAAAGAATTATGTAGACTTCTTAGTATGAACGTGTCTAAATAAATGTTAATCTATTTTATAAATAGAGAACTAGAACGAGACAACTATGTAATTAGGTTATCCGCTAACGCAAACATTTATTTAAATTATAACTCATACTATTATAAATGAATGGATGGCTGTTTGTTATATAACATCTCAAAAGTGATTTAAAGGTAAGTGACAAATATATGTTTAATTTAGAGATGGGGTGTGGGGTGTGCGGCGCGTTACCACATGATGAGGGGCGAGAGCGGGCCCTGCTGGCTGGGCTGGCCGATGGGGCGCAGCACGAAGCGCTCGCCCTCGCGCTGCAGCAGCACCAGGCAGTCGGACAGCAGCAGCGCCTGCGCCAGCGACGTGTTAGAGTGCGTGTTGCAGCGGGGTGTGGCGGTGTGGCGGTGTGGGGGGGCAGGCAGCGGGGGTTACCAGCACGTTGAGCCGCTTGGAGGAGTCGTTGCGCAGCGCCAGGTCGCCCTCGAGGCGCAGCGCGCGCGCCGTGAGGTCCAGCCGCCGCAGCTCCTCCCACTCCGCGCCGCCCGCGCGCACCTCCAGCTTGCTCTGGATGCTGCGCAGCCTGCAACACACACCCTCACACTACACCACTCCAGCTCGCACACTTTTATATAGTAAAAAGGAATGATTTGTATTTTTGTATGTATTGAAATAACATAAAAACTTCTGGATCAATTTTATAAATTCCTTCATCATTAACAATCTATGTCTATATTTTTTATTTCACGTGACCGAAGTCGCAAGCAAGTATATTATAAGAGCCTACAATATACTAGCAATCGCTGCCCAGACATCCTTAATTACAAATGCGTTGCCTATTCTTAATCAACAGAGGAGTAGCACATAAAGAGGATATTCACCCAAATCCACTTTCCCTTCCTATCCTTTCTGTACAATAAACTGGAGGAAAAGAGAAAGGAAAGGGACTAATATGAAGCCTCCGACACGACACTCATCAGACAGTACATGGAATTGCTTCCACTTAACGTCTGTCTTGTGTGTGGTCATGGCAGAGCGGCGCTGCTAAGGCGGGCTGCACACGGACCTGTTCCTGTTCTCCGCGGTGCGTATGGCGGTGTCGACGGTGTGCAGCACGTCCTTGGCGGTGGCCAGCGCGCGCCGAGCCGCCTCCGCGCCCTCCGCACCCTCCTCCGCGCCCTCCGCCCCGCCCTCGCTCACCGTCTTCAGCACGCCCTCCAGCAGCAACTGGTACTTTGTTAGCCTGTAATGACACAATAAAATGTTATACTATGTTGAAGCAGCAATAGCCTGTTGGTTAATGTACGGATTTCCGATCACGGGTACAAAGTTTCAAATCCCGCTATTTGACTATTGTAAACCATATCCTAGCACAAGTCTACAGCTTAGTTGGAATGGTAAAAGGAATATTAGTAAATTAACTAAAATCTGCTTATAGTTTGTGTGTGTCAGAGAGAGAGAGAGGGGGGAGTGACCTCTGCCAGACGCAGGCGAGCAGGTCGCGCAGCTGCAGCCGGCCGCACAGCGGCAGCTGCTCGCGGCCGCACAGGAACTGGTGCAGCTCCTTGTGCTTGCGGCGGCGCTCGCGCAGCGCCTCCAGCGCCAGCCGCTGCCCGCTGCAGAACTGCGCCAGGCACTCCGCGTACCCCGCCTCGCCCAGCTGCGCAGCGTTGAGCCACACCTTACATTAGTACTGGCGGCTCCCGTAAGGATACATCCGTATCAAATTATAAAAACTATTTATTTTATTGTTTATTGTTTACATTTGTGTTTCAATTGCAAATGTCAAAATTAAAAAGCACAAATGACAACTAAGACCTTTCACGTTGGATAACAATTACCGTTACCATGGCAACCTTGCTCCCTTGATGTTGTCAGCTTGTAGTTTTCCCTTTCCCGTATGACAATTTTTTCTAAATTATTTACTCCCCAAGTGTAATAGCCTAAAGCATGTCAGAAGTGTAGAACTTTTTATTGAAGAAATAATTATTCAAAAACATACTATGACTGCTGAGATCCTACGCCACAAAATGTGTTTACGATTTATTATTTTAATATAGATAAATATAGATTAGTAGTTAGTGCAGTGTAGGTTGCCAATGTGAGCCACATGGCGGCGCCTTCTAGAGCTCACTGACCGTGTTGAGCAGCGCGTCTGCGACCGGCCGTATCTGCACGAGGTGGTCGCGGGCCAGCGCGCGCGCCGCCCGCAGCTCGGCGTAGAGGCGCGCGTGCCGCTCGCGCACCTGCTGCAGGTTGGGGAACAGCGCGCGCAGCTCCTCCGCCGCCAGCAGGCCCGGCGCGCGCTGCAGCGGCCGGTGGAACACCGTGTCCAGCACCTTCAGCCAGCGCACGTGCGACCCCTCCGACACGATCAGCTCTGCGCACACCACACCACACCTCTCACAACTTCCACTTCGCCCGCCCTCGTAGCTTAATTAGTGACCCCAATTGACACAAAAGTAATGAAGACCGTAGTATCAAATATCATCCATCACCCTAAGTTTTCTTATCTTACTAATGTAGTCTAAATGGCTGAACGGATTTCAATGAAATTGGACATGAATAGTCTGGAAGAACAAATAAGCTACTTACTTTTATAATCACACGCGAACGGAGTCGCGAGCGAAAGCTAGTTTATAACGTAAATTACATAACTAGGAAACTTTTCAACAACTTGTTACTATTCTGGCAAAGCAATCAATCTTTCAGATTTAAAAATATACGTCACGTAGGCGTCGAATGAAATTCACGAATAAACGCTGATTCAAGAACTAACTACAGATATTTTCTAGACAATGTACATTGTTAAAGTCCACTGACATCACTGTGTTTGTGTAGTGAGGCAACACTACACATGACTGACATCTACAATAAACATATTGTCAAATACATCAACAAAATTTAAAACATTTTACAATTATCTTTTGTAGTCATTGTAGACAAAAATAAAGCGAAACTAATTTACACTAACCTAACCTGTCCGTCTGTCAATATAAAAAGTATCACATGATGGCGCCTCAAATTTGACTTTTTCATATTTTAAATGTAACCAATAAACTCAAAAACTGCTGAACTGATTCCCGAAATTCCTTTAGCTTTAAAAGGTACAATGTCGATGAGTAACATAGGCTCTAAACTTAGGTCGGAGTCGCGGGTCAATGGTCAATGCTTACAATATAGATTGTAAAATAAGTCAGTTATCAGAGAATAGGCAGTCTCCCCCCCCCCCATTCTACTCACCATGTATGACCTCCTGTCGTTTCCTCAGCCTGGCAGAGAGCTGCATGGTGTCGAGGAGGTGCGGCGGCAGGCTATCCGCCCACTGCGCCGCCAGCGGCTCCTCCTCCTCTGACAGCTCTGATGAGGAAGCTAAGTTACTGTCACCTCACAACATGCTTATTACAAACATACAAACTCTATCAAAATTTAATTTAGCAACAACTGTCCAGTAGTGTACCAACCTTGCTGGTCAGCGGCGACCGTGTTACTCTCATTACTTCTAGAAGATAGACTGGAGCTGCTGGAGCTGCCAGAGGGCGCTGTCGGCGTGCCTGGCTCCAAATCACTACAATATAGAAACAAATATTTCAAATACAAAATGCTAGAGAATACAAAATTTATTTCACTCATTTCTTTCACCATAAGAATGTTACATGAGATCTTCTAATTAGACTAAGTAATACATTTAGATGGACATTCAGCAAACTACAAGAAGCAATAAATAAATTCAATTCAATTGCTTTACATGTATACAAGTTCACATTTAACTGTACGAATAGTACATTTTATTAGTTAATGAAACTATATTACCGTGGTAATAGATGATATCAAAGTTTGTGAGGGAAGGAAACGCCAAAGCAAACATGGACGGGATGTTGATCGTCGCGGGTAATTCTGTACTCGACTTACTGAGGCACGTTCCTCGGACACCATACCGCAGACAAACCCATTTAGAATTGCTACCAATTTTATTTACAAACCAACAATAAATCTTGAATTATTTTCAACTTATCCATCGTATTTTTAATTAATAATTCATTATCAATAAATATTGATTTTGACTTTGAATGACTCATATAATAACATCAGGATAATCTAAAGTGCTTGTACAATATGACAGTTGCTGTCAGCCACTGAGTTTAGTTTAATTAAAATCTTCAATCTATCGATGTGATAGCAGGGTGAGTTATAGGGTGTGGGAGGGATGTACACCCTTATACAACGCAAGGCAATCAGCCTCTACACGTCGAAATTATAAAGTACATCTACGTCAATGTTAATACATTGTAACCATGAATAATACAGTTCTTTGAAGAAGTATTTTTTGTCCTTAGATATTAAATTAAAACATGAAGCATATTTAATTTGTGTTTTTTGTTTGAAACAGTTTGTTAAATATCCAGTAATTATCACAATCGTTGTGTTCGTTTACGATAAATACTAGAGTAGACACGCCGTCGCCGCACAAATATTCAACAATAGATAAACAATATCTATTACACATTACTACATCATCGGTTAGTTTGTTGTTGTATTTGTATTCGAAACATTAACTTTTTTAACTTAACTACACCAATGTTATTTACTTCCAATAACAAACTAACTTACTCCGATTTCGGACTTAAATTTGCACAACACTTTTCGGTTTGCATCACACTGTAATGTTGAATCAAATTGAATATTGACTACAAGAATATAAAAGTCTTGTATTCAAATAACCACGTAAACATTATCAATACCTTTCTGACAGTGTCCTGCGAGCCAGCAAGCCAACGGCTGGGGGCTGCCTGCCCGCGGGTAGGGACACGTTGCGGGAGACACGCGGGGGTGCGGGGGTTGCCATGGCGACCAACACACCCTCTCACAGATAGATAGCACTAATCACTCACGCATCACAATTCACGAACGAATCACAATTTTGCTCACTTTCTATACGCAAAAGTAAGTTGCTAAATCTGGATATCTAAGTTGATTTTCTATAATTAAAAATGATTAGTACCAATAATAAACGTTCAGAGATATCGTATTTCGTAATTTAAAGAATCGACTGAAATTTGTAATAAATGATCCTGAAATAAATCATCGATATTGCTACACAAACGTAAGAAAACGTATCGAAACTTTCCGAACATCTTTCATATTACATCGTAAAAATATTGTTTGAATCTCGTAAATTTATCGACCATGATATCGACTATTTATGTTTAGAACCTCAGCGATGCGCGTAAAAATATATTTTAGTGACTTGTGCATGTTTTATAACCGCGCGTACCGACTATTATTACAGAACTGACTGAAGAAAAATTTCAAAGAAATTTCAAACTAGAAAAACGTACAGATGTGAGAACATATGTAATAGGCATCTCACCTATATATGAACATTTTTATTTATCTTTACTAAGGATAATTGCTTTTTTTCATTTTATTTTTTTTGTGCAGTAAATATGCTCTACAACATTGAACACTTGCTATCACTTAGTACAACTGACGATATAAATAAAATAATAGTTAACGGATGCATTTATCTGTGTAGAGATTGCTATATGGGAAATTTAAAAATGTTACCAAGTTTAATAATTTTGCTTTGTATAGCTTAATCTGCTACAATCACTTACGTAGCATAAACATTTTTTATAACCATATAAAAAATAAAACCACTAAGGCAGGCGACATATTATACAGGAAAAAAAGGTAGTTTTATTCAAATAAAAACTACAGGAAGTCCCTATTATCTAAGTTAGTACCCATAGAATAAATCAAATAGAGCCATTTTAGTGCTTAAGGCCAGATTGGCGGAAACCTAGCTGTAGGCAATGATTAGCATTCTCTTTAGGCTGTGTTTACGCACATGTCCTAATTGATTCGCTTTATTATTTATGAGTGATTCTAACGTATGAACCATTTATAATATAATTTTAAAGGCTTGACTTTTTGCATCGAACTTTCTGAGACAAAAAAAAAAACATATGAAAGATATGAAAAAATTCTTCATCCCTTACTATTATTTAAGTCGATAATTTACAAGTTTCTTATTGAATAAAATATTTAAATACGTTCTTTATAAACTCTACACAATTGTAACATTGTAAAGATACATTTTAATACAAGATAACTTAACGGAGCCAAGTAATTATTTAACTTAAAACATTAACTTCACCCACGACTAATTACAAACTAATTAATACTTGTCGCGGTGAAACTTCGAAAGTGGGTCGACAGAGATATCTTCTAATATCTTTTACTTTTTAAGAATAAATACGTATATTAAAAAAAATTCAATATGACTTGTTATGTACACTTTATACATCACGAAGCATGTACTATATGATTACTGATATAGAGTTTCAATATATCTTATTTCATCTCAGCAATAACAATTAAACAATACTATATGTCTCACGACTATGTACTCAGCTTTTGATTTGGCACGTCAAAAACAAGAGTATTCTACTGCGTGGCGTGCCAACTAAACGCGGGTAAAACTACCTAATTGCTATGAGGAAGTCAGTTATCTATGTTGTTACAAAATGCGGAATAAATGCAGTTGAGTATGTAATAGTTAAAACTGCAGTTATAATGCGGGTAACTAATGCTAGATTCGCTTAACTGTCACGATTAACATGAAGTTATGAATACGGTCATATTTACAACTATATTTTCGCTATCAATGCATCTTATTTACCTATCGTTTAAAATAATATCTAAGTAAACTCAAATACTCTGCTAATGGGATGATTATAGATGAAATAATTAAACATAAGATATATTTGTCTAAAATCGATGATTTCAACTCACTAGTAAAATTATTAGTAAACCAACAAGGTAAAATAAACTAATATCGTGGTTATTTTACACCATTCTATTATTATAACACTGATAATTAACAATTTAAAAACAACAAAATAATATTGAAACACTTCACACGCTAACCGTAAAATTCTCATATATTACTATTCTCTCAAAATTAAATTATAAATTCACTAAAGACATGATCTTTATTCTTAGCAGACGCGAACTAGTGACGTCACATAACACGTCCCCTCAGCGAGACTGCGCGAAGTAAACTGAACTAAAGAACTAACTAATGTTCAGAAAAGCGCACGAATGTTTGTTCACATAAATTGTACTGTCTACGTCATAACTGGCGATCGAGAATACGTCATTACTACAATAGAGTTCGATTCTAAGTACTGAATAACATAATTTTATGATAAAAAAAGAAATTATCCAATAAACCTTAACACTGGTCTATTAAAGCTAACATAACTGCAGTTTTGATAACTGTAATTTGTAATTTGACTATTGTATTATGTGCCATTTATATTTGGTGAAGGTCATATTCATGTATCTTTATTAGCTACAAGCGACACCGGATTAACACAATTAATATCTCTACGAGGAATTAAATTTCACAACCGCTATGTAACACATAAACTGTCATCCACCATCGTCACCAGCTCACTATATGTCCCCACCGAGGGGCTGGCCCACTGCGGGTTGGTCGACTTCACACATATCTTTGAATTTCCTTGCCGATATGTGCAGGTTGCATTAGGATGTTTTCCTTCACCGTAAGAACGTCGGAAATCCGTAAGAAAAATCGAAAATCACATTGGTACACGGCGGGAAAACTGTTATCAGATGACAGATCAGTCAGTGACAACTGTCACATTGGTAAACTGTCATCCAATCGATGCAAAATTTTTACGATTACAAAGTTCTTACTTTGTTTCATTTTAAACAAGAAAAATTGAAGCTTGGTGTTCCAAACATGGAACACCAAGCTTCAATTTTGACTAACAAGTCAACTTGTGGTAATATTCCAGCTGTTCTGTTTGTAAAGGGCCGGCCCCGTACAGTGGGAAAGTTACACTGAACCTACTGACGTACAGACTGTTTGCGCTGCAAACTACGTAGTTGATGTACTGGTAGATATACAAGTATTGTGTCTGGACAATATTTACTTATAATGTTATTTAAGAGTAATACAAAATTGAATGTTTTTTTGTCTTTATTTATAGTACAAGGCGCAATATATTCCATCACTAGCTGTTGCTCGCGACTTCGTCCGCCTGTAGTTTAAAATGGTTATAAGTGGGCTACTTATTCTTAACGTAGCGTTTTACTAGTGATAGATTTTTTTTAAATCGGCCCAGTGGTTTTTGAGTTATTTCAATACAAACAAAAATCCTTAAATACAAATTTTCCTCTCTATAATATTAGTAAAATGACTAAAATAACAAAATACAAATATTTCTTTTATTAGAACTAGTTACTTTATACTGTAGTCATAAAACTAGGTACTTTTCCTTCAGTCATCATCATAACAAGTCCGCCATACAGGTAAACACATAAAGTCCAAGACAACTGAAGGCTTGGCGGCGTGACGTCACGCCGTGAAAGCCTTTCCCTGTGTATTGCAATTTATAGCTAATTTGTTATTTATTGAGGTCACAAGTCGATTTTATGATTTTTCTAAAGAAGTGGCACATTGATCAACGCAAAATAAAATTCCCTCCTTCATTTACAAAATCGAAATTAATATAATAATAACTATATTCTATT